ATGACGAATAGGGGGCGGACCGAACAGCGAATATTTTCGCCATCCGTAGCGAACGCGAACAAGCGATTTTTGCCCCTGTCGTGGCAGTGTCTACAGCCTCCCGCTACAGTAGTCCTACCCGTAGAGGGTCATCCTACTACCTTTTTAGTTGACACAGGTGCAGCCCGCAGTGTTCTCAGAGAACAAGACCTGCCTGACCCATTTTGCTTATCCGACACAGATGTCTCTTGTGTTGGTGTCGATGGCACCCCTAGAAACAACCTAAGCTCTTGCGAGTGGGTTCTGACATACTCTCACGCTTTGTTGTTTCTTCCACTTGTACAATTAACCTGGATAGTGCCCTGGATAGAGTCCCTGCAAAATTTTGGTCCACGGGTCCTAATGTCATTGGACGCCTACAAGTCCCACTTGTGGTAGTTACACTAATGAAGAGAGCTAATCCACCATGACGACCACAATACCCATTGAAGCCTGCACAGGCCCTCACCATCTCAAAGCAAGTTGAAAGTCTGTTGGCAAAAGGTGCTCTGGTCAAGTGTGTTTCACAGTGTAACACCCCACTATTTCCAGTAAAGAAGAAGACTGAAAAAGGCCAACCTGACCAATACCGTATGGTTCAAGACCTCTGCACTATGTAGTGTAAGGTACACTCCAAGAGGGAGATTTAGCTTATCCCCTTACAAGATTATATTTGGTACATCACCCAGGTTAGGCTGTTACTTTCCTCAACAACTCCAAATTCAGTCAGATGCAATGGTAGATTATATAACTGCACTCTCTCATGCTTTGACCAAAATCCATGCACAAGTGTTTTCTTCTATTCCAGATCCAGAGTCAAATACAGGCACACATAAGCTACTTCCTGGTGACTGGGTCATGGTCAAGAAGTTTCTCAGAAAACATACCATTGAGCCAAGGTTTGATGGTCCATTCCAAGTGCTATTGACTACGTCTACCTCTGTAAAGTTGGCCGGGAAGAGTACCTGGATACACGCCTCGCACTGTAAGAAAGTTCCTGATCCAGAGGAAGCAGATTCCGCCATGAGCTTCTTGTGCCCTGTGTTTTTGCTGCTAGGCCTATTAAAGGCCCAACAAGTTGCTATTACCAAAGATAATCATGTTTACACATTCTGGTATAAATCTTCAAATTTGAAGCGTTTACTTTTACCTTTGATTACTGTGATATTGTTCCTTGTACCTTTCCACAGTCACAACACTCAGCAATATACAAAGACATACCGAACAAGAAGGACCTCTACATTTGTGTGACAGGTGGCCATTGGGGACACCACTGTGGTACCTGGAAAGCAGCGGGTTGGAACACAGGCCGACCGTGGGGCTACAGACCACAAAGTGCCTTAGATAGGATTGACAATGGGAAACCCTTGTTACACAGAATGACCTTATGTAAGCCAACAGGGTCTACCCCAATGAAACTCACCTTAAACATAGAACATCCCAGACCAGGGGACGCTGGAGAGTACGTAATGGGAATGTATTGCAAAGGGGGTGGCTCATATAACAAGTTGGGGACCTTCTAGTTACAAGACATGCTTACGTCACCTGACTGGGTAGACTCTACACACATGACGATTAACCCTCTAAAACCACACATCAAAACCCTTAAAGACATGGTAGCCATTGCTAATCCCACGTTTGAAGACACTATGGCTGTGGAGACCGGGTTTTCAGATACTAATTTATGGCTTGAGTGGATGAGGTATAATGCTAATTCACACAATAAAACTAACTGCTATGTTTGTGGAGGGGCCAGACCCCATCTGGGTACAGTGCCCTTCAGTCTACCTTCAGATGTTGAAATATGTTTCCTAAGTCTCTACGCGCAGTGACCAACAAACTCATCTGTGTGTGAATCATGGAAAAAGGTATACCCAATAACCCAAGGGAATATCAAGCCACCTGATGGGATCACCGGGGATCACCGTGTACCCAGGTAACTACACTTGCTACAAAATACATGGAGCCACAGGAAAATTTGTAGGTAAATTCCCTTCTGGCTACTGTACTACCTATAGAGAACCTCCCACTGCCCTATTAGTAAATCATGTTAAGTCCGTGACATATCACTCCATTCACGTTTTTGTACACGAGCATATTAAGATTTTAGATTCTATAATATTTAGTAAAATTTATTTATTTTTCTTCATTCTTCTTTCTATTTTTATTATATTGCTCCTTGTCTGACAGACATTTTGCATTAGTTAGTTACCTATATTCAAGTACATCTGATTTATCCCGGTCCCTCCTGGTACACAGCTTTCGTTAGTTTATTAGTTTTCTATGGGGTTACCCCCTGCTCATTAGTGTACCAGATATTGGCTCTATTCCAGTTTTTTTCTTCCAATTTTGGAGAATTGGCAAAAAAAAATTCACAGAAAATAAGTTAAGCTGAAAATAAGAATATAAATATGAAATAAAAATATTATATGCGGCTCTTATAATTCAGTGCAGCTGTTACGGTCTACAAGTTGCAATTTGTGGATTTCCCTGGTTTATGAATAGCTTTGATGGTATCTACCTGCTGTATTCATGCAGAATAATAATGGACATATTACGCAGTTAGGTTGTAACTGTGTTATTTTTAAATTATATGTACTCATTGTAACGGATCACCTGACACCCCGACTGGGTACCTCCGTTGAAGGATGCTCCTAGTGCTTCCTGAGGGCTCCAAGCACCCCAGCCGACACCATAACCACTGTAGACTCCTCCAGAGAGCAAGACAGGAACAAGCTCTTACAAGAGCTTAGTAGTGATATAGCAAGGGAGTATGACTAGCATAGCAATCCCTTGTAGCAGATTCCCCCAGTAACGAGACGACACTTCGTTTTGAGGGTCAAGCAGAACTGACTGTACTGGCACATACAGCCTCTTTTATTCCCAATCCACAAATTTAGTACTGCCCACAGGGTTTTACAGAACAACCAATAACACACGTACAGTACAGAAAACACAGTGTGTTAACATAATTATCACAAGCAGGAAAAATACAGTTTTTATATATGTACTATAACTTTAAAAATATACATCCAATCTTCATAAAAATTACATATTATTAATCATTTGAATCCGTTCAGCCGTTCTGGAGATACAAAATAAGTCAAGTTTGACCGACCGCAAGCACATTTTCATGCCCAAAACAGTTCCAGAGAATCAGGCTGTGCGGTCGGTCTATTTCCCATGTTAAAGTCAGTTCAAACAGACGAACGACAACCATTCGAATTGTCAAACTGTCGAATGAACTGTCGAATGGCGTTCGAACTGAATGCATTGAAGTCTGGAGAAGGTAAAACTTCAGCTGAATTAAAGAGGGCCGCCGCCACGTGTTCGTTTGTCGAATGGCGGCCACTCCGACTACTTTGGCACTTTGGCTGCATCCGAAGTGCCAATTTAAAGCTGCAGAACTGCTCCAATACAATTTAAAGGGACAGCAAGTCTTTTAAAATCCAATCTGCTAAAATAGTCTTTAACAGGCAATATCTTCCAAGGGCCATAGTCTTAAAGGGGCATTGTTCCCAAAAGTCACAGTATGTCCCCAGATGGTTCTTAAAGGGCCAGCAGCAGCATAATAAAATACAATATGCCCAAATACTGTATTGAAAGGGCCAAATCTCCCAGGAGCCATAGTCAGCAGGCAGGAGGCGGGCAAACAGGCTTCTCCAATGCCCAGTGGCGAGGTTGGTTTTGCCACACTCATGTTCTCTTTGGCCTTTTTTTGTGTAATTGTCATATATTGAAAAATGTAACTATCAACTCTGGAAAAGCACCATTATCCAGCAAGGTAATTTTTTTTTATCATCAACACTCATTAAATGCATCAAACACCAAAGCAACATGTTAAAGGTCATAATGAAATGCATTACTCATGTCACTTGCAGGCATTGTAACATCCTTAGAAACTGCCACTTTACATTGTGTAAACTGCAAGGCTAGAGTATAAGTGAGGGAATGTTCTAGAAAACATGTTATTAAAGGGACACTCTACCTTAAGCACTTCAGGCTACGGAGGTTATTAAGGGATTAAATGCATTTCCCTGCAGGCTTATGTAATACTAGTGCTGATTTTAAGACAAATTGGTGTTTTTATAAATTACATTGATAACACCTCCTGGTCCTGGATTTCCCTTGCCTCTCTCACTTTGAAGTATTGTTTTAAATTAGTGCATGTCATAGAGAAGCCCTAAATTATATGCTTCTCTATTCAAAGCATTGGTCACCCTGGCATACTACACAATACCAGAGCTTATGAAAAAAGAATCAAATTGCCCCTGCCCCACACATCTTGCTCCCCCATCACATATCTTGAAGCCCCATACAATCAGTTTTAATTTTGATGGCAAATTTCAATTTACTTTTAGTTATAGTCGTTTGACTAAAAATTAATTTTAGTTTTAGTTGTATTTTAATCATCTGTATTGTTTTAGTTAACTAAATCTCCAGTACATTTTAGTCAACACAACTAAAATCTTATGGGTTTAGTTAAAGCCTCTATTTGTCTCTTTTAAACCTTCTCCAGTCCCTCTGTGTCTCTTTGTGTCCTCTCAGCCCCTCTAGGTGTCTCTCTCCCAAGCCCTGGTCTGTCTGTTTTGCCCCCCATCTATGGCTTCCCTGTGCAGTGTTAATTTTGGAGGAAAATTTCAATTTAGTCATAGTCTTTTGACTAAGAAAACATTTTAGTTTTAGTCGTATTTTAGTCATCTGAATTGTTTTTGTTTTAGTCTACTAAAATTTTACTAAAATTGTTAGTCTACAGAATTAACACTGCATACAATACAATCCCTATCCGACACATTCACACTACAGCCACCATACATGCACATCACTTATACAAACTCACTATATTCCCTAGACACAGTAGATCCCCTATACACACACATGCTACATCCTATATGTATGCATACAGTGGTGGACTGAGTCTAAAAAATTTGGTTGACAGGAGGCAGAGGGGGCCCACCCACAACTATAAGGCTATAATTCACCTGTAAGTCAGTATGTTATATCAAGCACCTCCTCCTCCTGATTCAGATTCATCCAATTGGCAGAAACAGGAAGTGACATTAGAGACGCACTTCCGTGCGTTCCAACGAACACTTCTGTGCATTTCAACTGGTCTAGTGATCCAAAATGGCTGTGCTTTCCACCGTAGATCCGGGAAAGTGATATGCTATCCCCTTGTAATTTTCTGCAATTAGATAACCAATTCAACAGATGAAAAAGACATTACTTTATCATGCTCTGGGGAGGAGAATCCAACCTCTAGGAGAAGAATGCTATACATTTCAAGTGTCAATTCTCTTAAATAATAATTAAAATATGTTGAAGAAATTTGCAATAAAAAAGTGCAATATATGTATCTGACTTAATATATGATGTTCATAGTTATCATAGTTATACATTATAAATGTACAACAATTGATTTAAATTGTAAAGCTGCACAATTAGTTTATTCTCCAATCACATAATTATCTTAACTGGACAATGAATTCATATATCTTATAACAAACTGTGGGTGCCACACATACCCATTTACCATCCACATGGTTCACAAATATTTTACCTAAATGGGTTTTGATAATGATGTTATGAGATAATGTAATGTAATGAGGGATAGCTAATACTATGAAGTCTCCATGTATCCCAGTTATCCTTATAATAGTTATCAAACAGAGAAAATCTGTAACAAATTTGAAAAAAAATGATGTACAAAAGGCTATTTACAAAACAAACACAAAACTATTTACAAAAAAAACCAGACCAGATCTATATTAACATTCAGTCCCCTAGGTTCCAGTGTTCGCAATTCATGAATCCAATAGGTTTCTTGCTGGGATATTTATTTTTTATTTTTTTTAAATTCTTTATTTTTGTACTGCATGGAATGCATTAGTGTGACAGTTTGGGCTTTCGCAGAAGCCGTTTCATACCATTTTGTGCATTGGATTTACAAAAAGGAAAAATAGTGGATAGAGCATGTATCCAATCTTACGGTGGTATCTGATCAGTGTGTTGTATCTCAAGTTTATGTAGCTTGCGCAGAAGCCAGTTCATCATATATGTAGTATGTGTTTACAGAAAAGAAGAATACATTTGTTTAGCGCAAGGAGCTTTCTATATCAAGGCATTTGACTTGCATTCCTAAACCTTTTGGTGCCATAGAACGTATGGGTCACCAAGAGGATAATAACAGAAAAGTATAACTTAAAGCAGAGTAACTTGTACACTTGTACACTTGTATTGATCCGAGTACTGTAGTGTGTGATGTGGTACTAAGAGTTATCTTAATCGTGGGTGGGCGTGTTCCCTCCTCACGGCCTCTCTGCCATGTGGGCACCCATCCTGTATAGTTACTTATCTTCCCCCATTCTCTCTCACCCTTCCCTTCTCAGGCTACAAACTGGTCCCAGAGTTCCCACACTTTTTGGAAAGTCTCACCTGTGACGTCAGTTTGTCCATGAGATAGTTATCCTTTATTTTAGCTATAACCATGGACATTTGGGGGCAATTCTGGGCTCAACCATTTCTGGGCTAGGGCTCGTCTGCTGGGATATTTTTTTTAACCTCCAATTTGGTAGTACTCTTTTAATTCCAATACATTTAAAACCTTTGAATGTAAAAGAGGGGCATGAATTGCAATATATGGGGACTGAATGTGATAAAAACTCTTTTCTTATGTTATTGATATGTTCCAAGATGCGTACTTTTAAAGGCCTCTTGGTATGGCCAACATATTGTTTTCCACACGGACACTGCAGCAGATAAACTACAAGGTCTGTGTGGTAAACCACCTCTGATTTGGTGTTGTAGAATTCCCTTGTAGAATAAAATACTACTACTAATAAAATAAATAGTAGAGCAAGCTTTGTACCAATTACATCCCCTAAAGCCCTTATGATGTTCTATTTCTTTTGTTATATCAGTTTTAATAGCATAACTTTTTGAAATTACTATTTTTCCTATACAGGGAGTGCAGAATTATTAGGCAAATTAGTATTTTGACCACATCATCCTCTTTATGCATGTTGTCTTACTCCAAGCTGTATAGGCTCGAAAGCCTACTACCAATTAAGCATATTAGGTGATGTGCATCTCTGTAATGAGAAGGGGTGTGGTCTAATGACATCAACACCCTATATCAGGTGTGCATAATTATTAGGCAACTTCCTTTCCTTTGGCAAAATGGGTCAAAAGAAGGACTTGACAGGCTCAGAAAAGTCAAAAATAGTGAGATATCTTGCAGAGGGATGCAGCACTCTTAAAATTGCAAAGCTTCTGAAGCGTGATCATCGAACAATCAAGCGTTTCATTCAAAATAGTCAACAGGGTCGCAAGAAGCGTGTGGAAAAACCAAGGCGCAAAATAACTGCCCATGAACTGAGAAAAGTCAAGCGTGCAGCTGCCACGATGCCACTTGCCACCAGTTTGGCCATATTTCAGAGCTGCAACATCACTGGAGTGCCCAAAAGCACAAGGTGTGCAATACTCAGAGACATGGCCAAGGTAAGAAAGGCTGAAAGACGACCACCACTGAACAAGACACACAAGCTGAAACGTCAAGACTGGGCCAAGAAATATCTCAAGACTGATTTTTCTAAGGTTTTATGGACTGATGAAATGAGAGTGAGTCTTGATGGGCCAGATGGATGGGCCCGTGGCTGGATTGGTAAAGGGCAGAGAGCTCCAGTCCGACTCAGACGCCAGCAAGGTGGAGGTGGAGTACTGGTTTGGGCTGGTATCATCAAAGATGAGCTTGTTGGGCCTTTTCGGGTTGAGGATGGAGTCAAGCTCAACTCCCAGTCCTACTGCCAGTTCCTGGAAGACACCTTCTTCAAGCAGTGGTACAGGAAGAAGTCTGCATCCTTCAAGAAAAACATGATTTTCATGCAGGACAATGCTCCATCACACGCGTCCAAGTACTCCACAGCGTGGCTGGCAAGAAAGGGTATAAAAGAAGAAAATCTAATGACATGGCCTCCTTGTTCACCTGATCTGAACCCCATTGAGAACCTGTGGTCCATCATCAAATGTGAGATTTACAAGGAGGGAAAACAGTACACCTCTCTGAACAGTGTCTGGGAGGCTGTGGTTGCTGCTGCACGCAATGTTGATGGTGAACAGATCAAAACACTGACAGAATCCATGGATGGCAGGCTTTTGAGTGTCCTTGCAAAGAAAGGTGGCTATATTGGTCACTGATTTGTTTTGTTTTGTTTTTGAATGTCAGAAATGTATATTTGTGAATGTTGAGATGTTATATTGGTTTCACTGGTAATAATAAATAATTGAAATGGGTATATATTTGTTTTTTGTTAAGTTGCCTAATAATTATGCACAGTAATAGTCACCTGCACACACAGATATCCCCCTAACATAGCTATAACTAAAAACAAACTAAAAACTACTTCCAAAAATATTCAGCTTTGATATTAATGAGTTTTTTGGGTTCATTGAGAACATGGTTGTTGTTCAATAATAAAATTAATCCTCAAAAATACAACTTGCCTAATAATTCTGCACTCCCTGTAGATGAGAGTAGGGTGTTCCGGCAGAACATTTCCCAATACGGGGTCTTGCCACAAAATTGACCAGTGTTTTTGCAGACCTCTTTTTATTCATTGATGTTCCACATTATATTATGTGGGATATGCATATTTAAATGTATCATTAGATCTTTTAATATTTGACCTGTCGATCAACAATTCATTCCTCTCCATCTTTTTTGTAAATCTGATCTCTTTTTCTAAATTGCTTTTGTTATATCCTCTTTCCATAAGTTTCTTTTTAATGAGTAATGACTGAGATTCAAAATCTGGGTGATGGGAACAATTGCGTCTAAGACACATAAATTGTCCTTTGGCTATCCACCTTAGCCAGGATTGGCAATGACAACTGTTCCTATGAACATATCCATTCCCGTCTGTAGTTTTAAAGAAACATCTGGTTTTGATATAGTTATCCTCACACAAAAGTGTAAAATCAAGAAGATTTGTTGTATTCCTGTCCCATACAGGTGTAAATTTCAAATGATATTGATTATCGTTCAGATAATCCACAAACTCCTGAAAACAACATGAAGCCCCCTTCCAAATAATAATAACATCGTTGATATATCTCCGCCAGAGCACCAGGTTCTCTCCCCAGCCACGACCAGACCACACGAAGAGATCTTTCCATCTCCTCATAAAGGTGTTGGCATAGCTGGGGGCGAACCTGGTGCCCATGGTGGTCCCCGTGACTTGTAAATAAAAATCACCATTAAAGAAAAAATAATTATGCTCAAAAATAAATTTAGAACAAAATCTCTACAATTGTGTGATATGATGATTAATGGCATCTAATCCCAAATTATGCTTGATGACTGTGTATAACTATGTGACATTGAGTGTTGCTCAACTGTAGCCAAGGCTCCATACCAGATTTTCCATTTCTTGTAGAAACAACTTTGTGTCCTTAATATATGATAAAGCTGTCTGTGCATATGTTTGTAAAAAAGAATCCACAAATGCCGATAAATTAGCGGTAAGTGAGCCTATTCTGCTAATTATTGGGAGTCCTGGGGGTTGTGTTAAGTTTTTATGTGTCCTGGGTAGAAAGTAAAAAATGGGAATGGTAGAATTTTTTTTAAAATACATTTTTTTTTTTTTGTGTAATGACTTTCTCTATTCTTGTTCCTACCAACACAACTTTCAATTCGGCATTGAAAGTCTTTGTGTGATCCCCTTCTAATACTTTGTATGTCTTTGTATCTCCTAAGATGTTAGTAGATTCTTGAAGATAATACTCAGTGGACATGATCATTTTGCCCCACCCACTCCCCCCTCATCTGCCTCCTTGATGACTATATCTTTTTTTTTTCATTAGATTTTTTAGGCAGATTTCTTCTTTTTGGGTTAGATTTTTTTACATTTTTTTTCTATATTTATAATTCCTAGATAGAGACCTAAATTCTTGGTCTACCATTTGTTTGAAAATTTCTAGGTATGGGCCTCGACTTTGAATAGGAAAGAAGCGTGATTTAGGTTTGAATTGTTTTTGTTGTGTTTCTCATATTCCGCTACCTCCAAATTCATCAGCTATGTCAATTTGAGATAGTGGGTTGTTTTCTAATCTTCTAATCTGATTCTTTTTTGTGGGCTATCTACACAAAGTAGGGAGAAGCGGTTGTGATATTCCCAGGTTTCCCAG